AGCCAAACCCTCAGCTCCTGCTCGTGCCGCGACCCTCGCTCCAGCATCTGTTGGGCCATCCTCCAGCCCGGCTTCGCGACGACCGCCTCTAGCTTCCGCTTCTTCTGCTTCACCCAAACCTCCTTCTACTTGGCCCGCAAGAAAAGAGAGAGAGANGAGAGAGAGAGAGAGAGAGAGAGAGAGAGAGAGAGAGAGAGAGAGAGAGAGAGAGACAGACAGACAGAGCGAGAGAGAGAGGGGGGGAAAGAGAGAGGGAAGACCGGGGGGGCTTGGTTGTTCTCACGATAAAGCTCACGTTTATCATTGAGAGATAAAAGGGAGGCAAGATCGGGAAGGTCGTGGTTGTGCCCACTACAAGATTAACGTTTAATACTCGTGTAGCCTTCAGATTCAGCTTCCGGACCTTCGCATAGAGGACTCTAGCCCAGCCGACCGATCACGCTGACACAGCCCTTCTTAGCAACCAACGCCTGTGTGAGGCACGTACCCGTGCTGCATGTAGAGGCCAAGGGAATTGCCACGCACTCGTCCCTGAGGCTGGACGGTGCAGGATGTTACTCTTTGGAAGCGTCAGCCCCGGCAACTTTCGCGCGAGAGAAAACGCACTCATACAAAAACTGGTGGACGGAGGGCGTCGGGGGCGTGAGCTTAACAAGTACTGCAGGGCGGGGGTTACGTCTGTGCTTGACATGATAGCTAGCTGCCGGCACTTTGGAAATCACTCCGTTACACCTCGAAACACACCACGCACACGCTTATCTTACCAGCAGCGTCTCATAAATCGGGAACTCGGACACCAACTGGTTGTCTTGGATGAGGCGTACGGCAGTTTCGAACGCCTCCGCGTCGGTTGCCGCGGGTATCAGCGCTCTGGCCAGCGTCTGTCGGGGCAACCCCGCCGCCGCGGTCGAGACAAGCCGTCTCGCCGGCTCCCACTCCTCTTCCAGCATCGCCGCGGCTATCAGCTTTTCTCGCGGAGAAACGAGGTCAAGGGAGGAGGGGCAGTCACATGCCGTTTGTAGTCGTTAGACCATTGACCTCGCATCCCTACAATGCTGGCACGGAACGATATGTCGGTGTGTGTGTGGAAACATGCCGGGTTTTGGAGGGGTTGACCCGCTGCCAATGCCGAGTGTTCGCCGACCAAGGCTAAGCTTAAGTTTCACAATGATGAACCAGAAGCTGGTCTATCATCCTTACGTTTGCCGTGCCAATGCCGGGGGGGGGGATAAATGGGAAAAATAACACCCTTTTTCGCCTTGGGACGAGGACACAACAATCACGCGATGCCGCCGTTCCATCGCGGTAACACACCCGGAGCAACACACGCCAAGCGTACCCCGGCCACGAGCCTTACCGCACGATACAATTGTACTACACTTGGGGCGAGCACACACGAGGCGACAAGTACAGCCAGCTGCCCCCCCCCCCC